CCCTTCCAATCCCTGACATTCTGGGATCCTGTGATTCACCCCCCGTCACTCCACATTTCAGCTCCTCTGGCTCCTGGGCTCTGACAGGAACCCGGCTCCTCTCCTCCCTGCAGACCTGGAGCGAGAATCTGTAAAAGGAACAACCACCCACCAGTAGTTCCTGTGTTTGGTGACTCCCGTGGCAGCTCTCGGATGCGGCTTCTGGTGTGTTCCTGTGTCCAGTGAACCCCAGTGACAAACCAGTGACTCCTGTCCCTCTTCACAGCAGGTTCAGGGTGGCCCCTTCCTTCCTCCCCTGGGAACAACCACCCCCCAGGAGTTCAGACCTGGAGAGTCTGAGATATAAGAAAGAATTTATTTCCTGAAAGGGTTCTCAGGCATTGGAACCAGCTGCCCAGGGAAGTGATGGAGTCCCCATCCCTGGAGGTGTTCAAAAAACAAGTAGACATGGCACTTCAGGACATGGTTTAGTGGGCATGGTGGTGGTGGGTTGACAGTTGGATTTGATGATCTTAAAGGTCTTTTCCAACAATAATTCCATGATTCTATGAGATTACAGCCTCAGCTCTTCCCAGCAAAAGCAAGAACAATGTTGTTTTGACATTTAACAGCACGAAACCACCACTAAAGTCCTGGCCGTGCTCTAAAGTGGTGTCTGGAGAGGTGATGGGGGAAACAGCAGCTTCGTACCGAGGAGGCTGGGAACAAGATGAAGTGGGATCGGTTGGGCTTTGTTTGACATCAGTGTAAATGAATAACCTACAAGGAGCGGGAGGTGCCAAGGCTTTGCCCAGTAAATCTCCCTAATTCCAGAGATCAGGGTGTCTGAGCTCCCTGCTGCAGACGGGGAATTGTGCATGGGACAGTTACAGACCCTGGTGCTCCAGGATTCTGAAAAGCCCTGTGAATTCGGGCAATTTTGGGTTAATGACTGGACTTGATGATTTTAAAGGTCTTTTCCAATCTAGGCAATTCTGGGATTCTGTGAGTGGGGCCCTCCCAGCGCTGCGTTGGCTGGAGAAATGCCACCTCGCTCTCTTCCTTCCCAAAGAACTGCAGAGCAGCATCTCTGCCTCCCTTTGCCAGGGCTTCGAGGGTTTCGAGGACAGACCTGCCAGGCTGAGCTTTGCCAGGCAGCAGGGAACACTGCTCTGTTCATTCTCTGTTATTTAACTCTCTTAAGCTGGAGTTCAGGAAGGGACAAGCCCAGTGTCACATCCCGGGGAGGGAGGAGATGCTGATAACGTGTTGACTTCTGCTTATCTGGAGGCATTCTGTGTGTGTGTGTGGCTGTCCTCTCTGCGGGGTGTGCAGTGGATGGTGAGGGGATTTAACAATTAGTTTGCAGCTTTCTGTGATGGAGGAGAGGGGTCAGCACTTGCAGACCCTCCTGCTCTGTCTGGTCTGTGCTGGTGTGGGTGCTGGTCCAGTATAAACTGTGGTGGCTGGGTTGGGCTGTGCTGGGAAATGGTGAGAGGCTGCAGAGGAACAAGCCCCAGGGTACAGAATGCCACTCATGAGGTTTCCTTTCTTTCTTTGGGATTCTCTAGTGGATTTTGCTCTGAAGGTGGTCCAGTGGTCGGAATCGGAGACAGTTCGGCTCCAGCTCTGGGACATCGCAGGTGAGTTCACACAGAGCTGCTCAGGAGCAGAATTTAAAGCTCCCAATGGCTTGGGCCCCCCCTTTTTTTCTTCTTTTTTTTTTCTTTTCTTTCAGTAGGACTCTGCTACAAAAATAAATCCCAACAGCCTGTGGATTCGGGGAGCAGGACTGCTCTGGTGTGCAGTGCTGTCTCTAGTTTGCAGTAGTAATTTAAATATTTAATCAAAAGCCCATCTGCAAAGAACACAGCAGCGCAGATGATGAACTCTATTGAGCTTTTCTTTCCCGTTTCAAAGCCAGAGCAGAATGAAGGGGGAGCCAGGCTCATTTGTAGGGATTGTGATCTGGCTGCTCAGTGATGGGTGGGAGCAGAGCTGGTGGATCCCTCAGGAGCAGTCATGGGAAGAGGAGACCCTTGGGAGCCCCCATGGTGGTGGGGCTGGGGCAGGATGCGGCGTGCTCTGGGTGACAGCGTTGTATGCGATGAGGTGGGATGAGGAGCACCCACTCCCTGGAGAGGTGCAGAGGAACATGGTTCCCAAATCTCCTGAGCAGCAGGAGATAGAGGACGGGTCAGTGCAGCAGCGTCTCCAAAATGGCACCTCTGGATCTAGAGGGGTGAGGGAAACAGGGTTGTGGTTTCCTCTGGTTTCGCTGCTCAGACGCACACGCCTGGAATCCTTAAAAAGAAAACAGGAAGGAGAAGTTTGCAGCAAGAGGGTTGCAAAAAGAAACTGATTTCCATTTCAGCCCCAAAAAGGCATTTAAGATTTGGAAGGCAGAGGGGCCGTGCTGGTCGCAGTGCTCTTGTCATGCCATGAGCAGGAGGGGACACACGTACCGATGGTCCCTGCTGCGTTGCCATCCACCTCAGAGGTGTGCAGAGGCGGTGGGATGGCTTGAGGTGACTCAGAGTGCTCAGTTCTTGATGGCTTCAGAGGGAAAAGCCATCCAAAAAGACCAATGACAGAGCTGCATGGGAGCCCACAGTGAAATCTCTCTCCAGTGCCAGAAATGCTGATTTTCCCCGTGCCACTGACCCGTGTGACACAATGGGGAGGGTTTGTGGTGTGTCCCGTCCACACGAGTGCACTCCAACCAGGCAGCAGCACAGTGGGGGTCACTCCCTGGATGCAGTTTTGGCAGCACAGATGGGCCATAAGGTGTGAGGAGTAATAACAGCAGATGTGAGTTGTGATGTTTTCTGTTTAGTGCCAAGTTTTTCTCTCTGGAGAGCTGGTCTGTAAGCTGTGCCCGTGTCGATGCTGGTGGCACGAGTTGTGCCAGAGCAGGGATGGCTGTGTCAGTGGCCAGGCACCCTACTGCCAGCAGGATTCTGCTCAGGGGGAGGTGCATGAGTGGTCAGGGACACTAAATTGTTACCCTGGGAGTAATGCAGGTATTGCTGGGACATCTGAGTGTCTGGCTCAGGATTAAGGGCTGCCCAGTTTGTCCCAGTTGTCACTGTGTTGCTGAGGTGCCCAGGCAGGATGTGTTTCCATGCCTGTATTTCCTCATTATCTGAGTGGGGATTGTTAGTGTCAGGTGAGAAAATGATGCACCATGATGAGCATCTTATTTGCAGGAACAAATCTAAAAATGGGAACTCTGGGGGTGGATTTATTTTTCCCTTTTGATGCTGTAGGGCAGGAACGGTTCACATCCATGACCCGGCTGTACTACAGGGAGGCGTCAGCCTGCGTGATCATGTTTGATGTCACCAACGTCAGCACGTTCAGCAACAGCCAGAAGTGGAAGCAGGATTTGGACAGCAAGCTGATGCTGCCAGATGGGAACCCCGTGCCCTGCCTGCTGCTGGCCAACAAAGTGAGCAGCTCTGGATGTGCTCTGGGTGTGTGTCTGTGTGTCTGTGTGTGTGTGTGTGTGTGTGTGTCTGTGTGTGTGTGTGTGTCTGTGTGTGTGTGTGTCTGTGTGTGTCTGTATGTGTGTGTCTGTGTCTGTGTGTCTGTGTGTGTGCACGGCAGTGCAAAATGGCAGGAGAGCCCTTCAGCACTAAGCCTTGCCCAGAGTTGGCCCATAGCCTGTGCTCTTTTTAGCCCTTTCCTTAACTCTTATACTTTCTCTAGCAAGGATTCTCCTCGTTAACTAGGACACTGGTAGGACTCAGCACACGGATGGCACTAGGGAGATGTTAACAGCAGCTCTGTCCTGGGTGCAGTGCCTCGTGCTGTGCTGTCAGAGCTCGAGCTCTGTAGCTCCTGGGCTATAAAGCTTGGTTTTTATTTCCTTTTTTGGTCTTTAACATGCCTGGGACGATTGTGTGTGATGCTGCAGGTGAAGTTTCTGCTCAGGGGGATGTCTAGTTTTCATTTGGATGCAGTGTCAAGATTCACCGTGTAGATTGGTTACTGGTTTTTAATGATTTCTTTTTCTTTCATTTAAAACCTACCTTTATGTTCTTCATGTGCCCAGCAGCCCTTTCCAGATTTAGTTTGAGATTTGCCTGGTTTGAGAGAGCCTAAACCTGGAGATGACTGAGAAACGTGATGGGTGGGCAGGAGAGTGGCTTTTCTTCTCCACTTCTTCAGGATTAACCCTTTCCCCCGGTAGCTGTTTCAAGGCACCATCTTTGCCTGCATTAGGGAAATCACTGTGACTGTACCTGCTGCAGTCACACTAACACAGGCTTTTATGGGACAGATTTTCTCACTGTCTCTTCATACATCCCATTGGCCTCAGTGGCACCACACCAGTGATGTTCCCTCAGTGCTGAGAGGCCGGGCAAATTTTGGATGAGTGACAATGCTTTCTTGTCCTGTGCTGGATGAACCTCCCTCCATTCCATGCGTGTTTGACTGAGGTGTGTCAGTAGCTCAGATGAGATAAATATATGGCTGCTTGCAACATCCCATTAAGAACCTTGCCCTAAGAACTCCCTATCAGCCTCAGATCTGGGTGATGTGAAGGGCTGAGCCTCCCTGCTGCCTCCCTGCTCACAGGCAGTCACTGGCTGAGGGGGAGAATTCCCCTCCCAGCTTAAAAATTAAAAGGCTAAACTTAAAATGACTGGGGTTTTTTTTGGTTTACAGTGTGACCTTTCCCCGTGGGCAGTGACAAGAGATGAAGTGGATCGGTTCAGCAAAGAAAATGGCTTTTCTGGTTGGGTGGAGACGTCTGTCAAGGAAAACAAGAATATTAATGAGTCCATGAGGTAGGCACGATGAGTGGTGATACATCCAAGGGTTAATTCCCTCTTTCAGACACAGCCATCTTGGAGGTGAAGGGAGATGCTGTCAGTGAGTAACAAATAGCAGCAATAACACACAAGTAAATCTCCCGAAGGGAAACTGAATTCTGAAAGGTCAGAAGTTTTTCTCTCCTTGGTTAAGCTCTGACATGCTTTTGGAAACAGAATTTCTTTGAACAATACCAGGGATGTTTTTTTTCATACACTGGCCTCTACCAGGAGGAGAGGATGGGATTTCTTGTGCAAACACATTAGAAATTCTTTTTGTGACGCACCAACCCTTTGATGGAGAATTTTGCCTTTTCTGAAAGGTCTTAGACTGGGTATTCACACCTGATCTTGAGGTTGGGCAGTTGGTACCTGGGAAGCCTGTTGCTGTGTCCCAGTTCTAAACTGGACCCGAGGTGAGGTGGTTGCAGGAGGTGTTGTTAGTTACCTGGTCACTGCAGAGTCCTCTGATGCTCCAGGTGATTGCAGCAATGCTGTTGTCAGTGCTATGAGGTCCCTTATCCTTATTGTTTAGTCCTTACAGTTCCAGAGTTGTGTGTATCTCTGGAATGAATTCTGTTTCACTTTGTACTGCCTCAAAACTGTGTGGCTCAATGCTGCAGGTTTGGAAAAAAAAAACCCAAACAAACCAAAAACCACACTGCATTTATGTTTGTCTTCTAGAGTCCTGATTGAAAAGATGATGTCCTCATCCACTGGTGATGGAAGTTCCTCTGCTACTGGGAGTGGGGATTATATTAACATAAAAGAGACAGCCCCGCCAGGCTGGGCTTGCTGTTAGAGCACTGACTGCACCATCTGCCTTGGCTCTGGCACCAATTTCCTTTTATTATCATCATCATTATTTTTTTCTAAACTGGCTGTTACTGTTTTTTGGGTTTGTTTTTTGGGTTTGTTTTTTGGGGTTTTTTTTGTTTTTTTTACATGATTGTGAACTGTCTTCTGTTCAGTGCATGTTCATACTCAGCAG